CTCGAACAGCAAGACACTTTTAACACTCGGCGGACAGGTGGCACGACGTGCTAAGGGCAAAGCTACGAAGTCGGGGTCGTAGGTCATTGTTTTTAGCGTCTCCGATGCCGGTTTCGGCATGTCCAGAGTAGCTGCTGAAAGGGCTGCATCTCGAGATTTGCTCAGGAGAAGGGTGTGCATGCAAAACCGCAAAGTGGCGATTTGGATGAGACGGCAAACGAAAGTGGACGCAAGAGGGTGATCCAGGATGTTTCTTCGGACAGCCTTGCTTGTGGCCAGTAATGCCATCCGGTTTGCAAAAATGTTAACCGATTCAATGCAACAATTAATAGTCACGGCGAGGAGTTGAGAGGGAATATCATTCAGACGAACCGTAGGGAGAAGAAATGGACAGCCCATTATGGCGTTCATCGCTGCAAAAGTGTATAAAGAATTGACTTCGAACAAAAAATGGGGACAGGTTAGTGTGTAAATTGGAAAAAAAATTACAAAAACAATCGTCCTAAGCATTGAAGCATACTCACAAAGCACCAGAACAAGGTAGTATTCGAGCGAAATAGAATATATTAAGAATCAACAAGTTGAAATAAAGAAATCAAGAAAGATTAAGTCGTAATTTTTAGGAAATTCATTTGACGAAATACTGAATACGTATGCTAAAGAAGGAACCACACACTAGGGAATGTTTTGCGAAAACCATTTTTTGTACTCTTCTTCAAACAAGATAAGTTGCAGTTCAGTGGTTTCCGCCGGAAATCTATTTTTTACTGCAGATTGCGTTTTTAAACTAAAAATAATCACTAGACGCGTTGACGCTGTCGCAAGGGTTTTGATGCTGAAAATTGCACCACGGTCATGACTACAGGCATTCGTTTCGTTTTGAACCTGCGGCACTGCTCTAGGTCACAAAATGAGTAGGATTTGTGTTTTTAAATGAACACTACAATGAATAATCGAGGTTGCCTTTCGAAGAACAGCAACCGCAACAGAAAATGAAAATATGTCGAAATGATCCTTCGAATATGTGTCACATCCCTTAATTACCACTGCTAGTGGACGAAAGTGCATAAATAAATGAAAAGCTACCGTTGTTTCTATTCGGTAGGAAAAGTATAAATATGCGTGAAAATCACTGTTTCCTCATAGAAATATTTGCAGCAAGAATTCAAAAATATAAAGTTTTATGAGGATGCTGAGTCGCGCTTCCCCCTTGCCTCACTGATGAAATGGCCGAACAAAAGAGCGCTGCGACGATAGTGTCGGAACTATAATTCTACTCAAGATGTCTTCTTGGATCACAATGACCCCAGGGAAACTAATTTACCAATAGCAATGGCTGACACGTGTACGGAAAAAAATTCCCCAAACAATGATTGAGGAATATGTGACGAATTTTTCACAATTTCAAACATCAACGCCGCAAAAGTGTGTTGGCTACTTCAAGAAACAAAAGGATTCACCGATTAACACCGTGTTAACGATTTTTTTCGTATCAATTCAATCAAATTTTACTCACTGCGAGGTAAATATGGAAAGATTTAACAATGAGGGCAATCGGAGATTCTGGACAACTGAGGAGAAAAAAGCGGGCGTCAATGGAGCTCACCTCGCCTTGCTAACCACGATAAACAAAAATCTCAAAGATCAAGGTAAATAGGACCCATGACGTGAAAATAAACAGTTGATGTAGCAAGTAAAAGAAGCAATGAACCACTGATTGCATCATTCGTTTGATTTGGTCCTGCGAAGGAGTCTTGTAGACCTTATTTCGCAAGTTTCATGTGACATTCGAGCGGTGACAGAGCAGTGACGCGAAAATTGAACATCTGTATGAAATGCTAGGTTTATCCGTCAAGAACGCGACGTACCTTTGAATTGTGAGCAGACTACACGTAATAACCACGAGATTTCGTCTCATGATTTAGTTGGCTCGTTTTCAACCTTTTTTAAACCAAGCAACTAATTAATCAACCAACACACCTACGGCCCAGTGTTATCGTTCGTCAGATAGACAACCCATAACAAAATATAGTCAAATCAATATTGCCAGTTACACTTCCATTTTCCACAAAGAAGTTACAAATTAACTGCTTATGAGACGATAAAAGTAGTCTCAAGGATGGAATGTGTTAGCAATTTATGAATGACACTGAACGTTAATGGTTGCTACATAAATAGATGCAAATAAAGTAGACTAGTGAATTTACGTAGTGAAAGACACGAAGCTTTCAGTGGATGCGTCAATGAACAAGGAACCCCACCCCTAGTCTATGTAACAATTTCAACGGGCGAGGTTTGCACAGACTCGTGAAAATAGCAGTCGGGTCAATAGAAATTGAACGCTTTCTTTAATGGGCAAAGAAAAGCCATCTGCGTTAGCAACACGTCTGCCAGACAATCAAAAGCTGTAAAGCAGTGGCACATGACCTGCTAAAAAACTGTTGAAGCTGACGATAAACTAGAGTATTTGAAAGCACTGGACAATTGAAAATGTTTTTAAATGGGTTGCTACCAGTAAATGGGCTCTGCACGAAAATATTCAGCTACATTGGAAATTCGGAATGAGTATACATGAATATGGATCGCGTCCAAGAAAAGGCACCGAGGTACGCTTAAAAACCTTCCAAACAACTGGCATCGGTATTTCCATTATCTACGTAACTGTAAAAGGAGTCCTCAGACCTGACGGTTACGAGAAATGGCAATCTCGTGTAGTTAAAATTGGGAAAGGCATACACGTCGAGGGGGATAATCCAATGAAACAGGCGGCTAACAATTATCAGTTTTTTTTGAAAAAAATAGCCGGTGCGATGAAATGAGGAGGAAGTCGTCGACTCAGACATGGCTTCGCAAACTAAGCGTGCACGCGCGCACACATACGCCACCATATCTCGGAGCAAAGGAGGCTTAGCTGAAGGCGGGGGAGGGAGGGGGGGGGGGGGGAAGGAGGGGTGTGACCTCACGTGTGCGCCGCCCAACACTGGACAGTTATGAGAAATTCCTCCGTGAGTCCGTAAACGAGACG